AGCTAGACAAAGTAGTGGGAAAGCATAAGAGGATTACAAAAGGAAGACAGCACTGTTTGGTCTATAACATTCCCCAGAGAAGCTCTCTTGGCACCTGCTTTAGCACCTTGATTTTGTCTTTAAGATGTTTTTATTTGACATTCTGTTTACTAGAACATAAGTCAGTGGGAAATGTGTCTCCTGCAGGCAATTTAGCTTGGGGATGGGGTCCTGTGCAGCCTTTGCCCCTCCAGTCCCTGAACCTAATTTAAAATATATTTTGCTCCCCCCCTTCAAATTTCTAGAGAGCATGGATTTCTCTTCCTGCCACACCCCCCGCCCCCGTGCGCCTTGAAACATTAAAAATAATTACTGAAAATGACCCAAAGTCACTTCTGGTTTTAGAAAAATGGTAGCTTATGGTTCTTTGACCCTCTGTGTATGCTCAACTCTGGTTTATAACTCTTCAGACTATTTTAATAGTTGTTTTAATGTCAATTTTGTGGTTCTACTGGACTTCATTGATATTTATTGCTGCTTGTCCTGTGACTGTAGTGTTTTATATAGATTTTTTTTAAAAAAACTGTATATTTTATATTTTTTAAAACTGTACAGCACCCAAGAGTATTGCAGTGAAGAGTCTTGCATGTTTATAGACATGTTCAGCAGAGTGGTGCTAGCAGACCATGAATATTTTGTTGTTGGGGCAACAACAAATATTTTCCAAGCTGAGAAATCACAACTAACAACAGACAGACTAGAAATAGATATCTAGTTTCTCCTGGGCTGAAGAATTTGAAAGAAACCTGGGAATTGTAATTTTGTGAGAGGTCCGAGTTTTTGTTTTGTTAGATGTATATGGTCTCTCTCCACTCATAGGATTCTATTTGTCCAGGGTTCCCTAAAGAAAGAAAATGTCTGCTAAAACTGGTGAAAAATTGTAATCTATCTGTGTATATGTTTGTGTGCATGCACATGCGTGTCTGTGTCCAGACAGCAACAGCAAAGGAGGAAGGATAGAAATACAACAGATCAGCTGTTGATCTTGTCATACTGAATATTTTGCTTACATAAGTGTACAAATGCTGTGCTTCAGTAGATCAGGAGTAGTGTTCACATAGTTCTCCAGATTTTGGAGCAACTCCCATCAACCCTATGCAGCCTGGTCAGTGCTGGGATTTACAGTTCGGCAACATCTGAAGGCCACATAGTTCCTACCCCTGATGTAGGTACACATGGTTTCATTTGGTTTGTATCCCGAATTTCCCATTCTATCTATTTTTGACAAATTGTCACAAATATAGTAAAAGAAATCTGGGTCCCTTACATGTTTTCTTATAAGTAACTGCTAGATTCGCAAAATTAGAGACTATTCAGGAAAAGCAATTCCTTCCTCTGAAATATAGTTGACAGCACCTGGTGTATGTTGGCAGTCTCCCATTCAGGTACTAACCAGAGCTGACCCTACTTAGCATACAAGCAAAAGCACCTCTGAATATTCCTTGTCTAAGAAGACCCTATTAAATTCATGAAGTCACCATAAATCAAGAGGCTGTTTGAAGACACATAGACACATTCAGTGAAGTCCTGAATGAGTTTTGTAGGTTCCCCCCCCCAAAAAAAGCTGTAATCATTTATAGGTGAGAGCCAGTGTGACATAGTAGTGTGAATGTTGGACCATGACTCTAGAGACCAGGGTTCATATCCCGGCTTGGGTATGAAACCCACTGGGTGACCATGGACAAGTCACATACTCTCAGCCTTAGGAGAAAGCAATGGCAAACCTCCTCTGAACAAATCTTGCCAAGAAAATCCCATTATAGGGTTGCCTTAGGGTCAAGTCAGAAATGATTGGACGGCATGCAACAACAACAAAATTAAAACAATTTATAGATAAGGGAGAAGTATATGCACAAACAGAACTGCTCTGAAAGGTTTTGCTACAGGCAATAACTCTGCAAACATGGGCTACATTTCCATTTAAATGAATTTAAAATAGACAGCATGAAGACTTGGTTTGTACAGACGATGGAAAATGGAGCTATGTGTTTTCAGTTCAGCTAGTTCTTGGTAGCTTATTTCAGAGTCTGCTAAATCAATGTGAACCTTTCCCTAATCTCCAAGGGATTCTGGATTAGGCCTGGAATGACTTTCAAACAGTGAATTAATTTGATCTTAATGAAAAGCCAAGTGATATATCCTTTCCAGTCAGTTTCAACAGGATTTAAAAACAAACAAGCCACATAATTTATTGTTCCTTTTTGTATATTGCTGGGATGGAATTCAGGTTAAATTCAGTTCAGAAAGCCTGAACTAAAACGCTAATTTGAGTTGTCTTTCCCAATCACGGATGTGTTTGTTGTTCTAACATTAGAGGCCAAATTAGAATCCAGCCCTCCAAGAATACATTTATTTTATTGGATTTGCAACAGCGGGTCGTGTTACAGATTGAGCTGTTAATGGAAGTATTGGAGTTAAAATTAAATTACAATTACTGCCAACTGTCATCTTGTGTACATCTTTAGCCCTGATCCTCCCACATATAAACAACCAATTGGAATCAGAATGAGTAAATGACAAAAGAATGATCATGAACTATTTTGTTTGGCAACAGTGGGGAAAGGGCTAGGAAGAAAAACTGCTGCAGAGAATTTCACCTGAATTCAGCATGTTGAGGGTGTGCCCATAGTACACAATTTTATACTACTATAATTGTCCTGGCTCCATCCTATTTAATCCTGGGATTTGTAGTTTTGTGGGATACTTAGAATACTCTACTGAAGATTTCTAATGCTGTAGTTCACAAGAATGCACTAGAGAATTCTGACTCTTACATCAGACTACAAATCCCAGGTTCTTCTAGGGTAGTGCAGTTAAAGTGGAATAAAAATGCTGTAATTGTGTAGTGTGGATGTATCAGAGCTGAACTAATTAACTACAAAGAAAATGAAATATATCCCAATGCCAAATGGTCAGATCAACAGAAGGACATTGGGCTACCTCTAGTAAACCTATTTCAAATTACAATATATATTATATTACTATTAAAAAAGGCCTCGGAAATACCAATATTAGAATAACAGCAAATGTTGCTGTAGCGTCTGTACTACATGTGTAACAAAAAAAAAAAAACAAACAAAAAAAAAAGAGAGAGAAGAGAGTATTTTGGTTTTGGCATTCCTGAGTTTTTTATACTATTACAATTGCTATATTGTAGTAAGTTCATTAGATATAGCTGAGGTGAACAAACCAAGTTATAACCACGGATGTTTAAAGATAACAATTTCAGGGAGGATTTTAGGGTAGTAGCACTCCATTATTCAAAAGATGAGATTACTTTCCTCATTATTTCCCTGTCTAAATACAATTTTAGTTTGTGCTAATCATTTAAGTTTCGCTCATCCATTTGAACCTCCAGTCACTGAGCTTTCATAGGAGTTTAATCTTTTACGGTTTGTGCAATGGAGGTGGGGACATTATGGCCCAGGTAAAGCATAGTTGAATATTTACGGAGATATCTTACTCTGTTTTTATCTTGGCCCTGAATTAGTTCCCAAGCAATTAAAGGCAATGAAAATTAACATTTTTACAACCAGTGTTCTGTTGTGATTTGGTTCTGGGTTTAAGCATGATGGAGTATGGGTCTGTCTCATCTCTTCCCTCTCCTGGCCTCTTCCATGGTACTTGGTAGCTGGAGGAGAGGAGATTTATACTAGCAAATTGTGGTTATGGATTAAAATAAAATGTAAATCCAAAAAAAAAAGTCTGTTTTCTTGTTGTTTGTTGTTATTTGAAATGTTAATGCTCTTTGAGAAATATATTGTTCATATTAAACTGTTTATTTAAAATATATCTTGATTTCATATCTCACATTAATGATCTGTAAGTTATCTAATTGTAAAAAAAGAGTTTGAATCACACTTGTTTTGAAAAGGAAGTAGGATATTTACATAATAAATCTACTACTCAAGGCATTTTTTTTCCATAAGAGAAGTCACCTCCATGTTGTGCAAAGGGCTAAGGGAACCGGATTCAAACTACATTTAGGGGGAACGAGGAAGTAGAATGGCAGGCCTCCAAAGAGTATACAATGCCACCAGCCCCCTGTTTTTTGAGAGCGTGTAGGACGAAAAACAGTGGACAAGGGAACAATACAGGAAAACAGCATCAAGGAATGAGGCAGGAGGATGAGGGAAGCAAGAAAAAGATTCAATATAAGTTGTTATAAGGCTGCATCTATACTTTAGAATTAATACAGATTGGCACAGCTTAAACTCCCATGGCTCAGTGCTATGGAATTCTGGGATTTGTAGTTTCATATTTAGCCTTCTGTGTCAGAGACCTCTGGTACCACAAACTACACATCTGCTCACCTACTTATTTCAAGATTTGATAGGAGGGAGCCATGACAGTTAAAGGAGTGTCAAACTGCATTAATTTTGCCATTTTATATAAGGGACACCATTTTACTATGTGATTGATTAATTAATAATGGAACTTGAGCATCCACATCCACAGATTTTGGTGTCTACAGGCGTCCTGGAACCAAACCCCAGTGGATAACAAGGGCCTACTGTATTCAAAGTGGTGGTCCATGGACTTGTGTCAGTCCATAGGCCATCAGCTGCTGATCCCTGGAGAGTTTCTAGGAAAGATGGAAACATCTGTAGCCAGTCCCTGACATTTTAGGGGGGGATTGCCAGTCCCCCAAATAATTTAGCCTGAGAAGCATTACTATTTGCATAATTTTGAGCAAAAGTATTGCCAATATTGTCACTTTAAAAGATGTGATTAAAGTCATTGCTTTGGGGCATGCAGCAGGAAACACTTACTGCTAAGTCCTAAAACATTGCTGGGGGGCATCATTTTGAAATATTTTTATCCATTGCATTGTTGTTGGTGACCCTAAAGTGGCCCTATCATGCGGGTTTGTTGGCAAGATTTGTTCAGAGGAGGTTTCCCATTGCTTTCCCCTGAGGCTGAGAGCATGTGACTTGCCCAGGAACACCCAGTGGGTTCCATGACCAAGCTGGGAATCGAACCCTGGTCTCCAGAATTATAGTCCAACACTCAGCCACTATGCTATGCTGGCTAGCAGTACTGGCTAGGGCTGATGGGAATTGCAGTCCCAACGCCAAACTCTAGAGCCTTATTGTAGCCGAACGTTGTGCATAATTTTGTAGTGGTAGCCTTATACGCTAATACATTTAAAGACAGGCTCCACAACAGCAGTGCTGAAACGTGCCTTCAGAAGGTACAGAGCTGCATTTTGGAACTTTGTAGGATTGACTTTTACTAATGGAACTTTTAATCTGGACCTTGAAGTTAATGTTTGTGCCAATGAAGACAACTATTTTCCAGCCTGGGATGTTGAGTAAAAAGTATTGCTCCCTCCCGCCCCCTGTATTACTTTGAAATTTCCTTTTTGGTTTTACTGTCAGTGAATGTATTAAAGAAGTGGGAGGAGGAATAACTGGCTAAACAAGAGATCTACTTTTCCTCTTAGCATTGCATATTTTAATGTCCTAAAGAGGGACAGAGGAGGGGGGAAATCCTTGTGTCTCTGGAATATCTTGCTCCAAAGAGCACATTTGATACTTTGTTCTTGCCAATGTTTACAGGAAACTCTTTGTGTTTCCATGCCATGTTTCATTCGGTACCCATGGCAGCTTTACTGAGAGACCTTCACTGCATTGAGTTGGATGCTAGGATGCCCGATATAGCTTGATTTAAGGAGATGGCACTTTTTAAATGTCTTAAGACATATGAGATATCCAGTCAGAATTCTTGTACATTTCATTTGATTTTTTTAAAATGAAGGAGTGTTGATTGATACTTTGATCTTACATTTTGGTAATAACAAAAGGAATATTGTTAGTTGAATAAATGAAATGGCAATTTCAGAAGTTTACTGCTTTCCTGGGTTTTTCATAAAATGATGATTATTTATCTGACAAATATGCCTAGTGCCTTTTGCTTTTCTCCTTTAAAAAAAAACCTTCACTTTCTTTTTGGGACAGAGAATATGTCTTTTTAAAAAATGAATGTAGTCAAGGGTTGGTTTATTATATTGATAGTAAGCTGAATCTGGAAATCTGTGCGTAGTGTGCTTATAAACACACCAAAATGCTAGGGCTCACCAACAGTTGAACCACAAAGGAATTCTGAGAAGTAAAGCTTTCTTTCTTGTTTTTTGTTTTTTATTGTTTTGCAATACTAATGTTGCATGTGTGTGTGTGTGTGTGTGTGTGTGTATATATATATATATATATATATATATATATATATATATATATGCATTGTGCTTCAGCTAAATTTATTACATTGCCGGTCTCTTGCAGTTAATTTGAAAGTTAAAACTTCAAACTCTGAAGCTGACAAAAACAATAAACTTGAATCAAGTCTACAAAATAACGCCTACAATTTGCTTTCACCTTATCTACATGGACCAAATAAACTGACCTTTCCCTGTCCTCTTAGCAGGAGTCTGGACAATGGAGGTCCCAATCCCCATGTCTGACATGAACAGACCAGATGATGTCCAGCCCATTCAGTACAAAAGTCAAGTTATACTCTTTTTATAATGGAGTAAAAGATCCGGAGCCCTCCGTTCCAATGGCGTGCAGCTGTCTAAAATGTGTCCTGCTCTGCTGCCTGGCGCAGCTGCTGTTGTTGCATGTTACTCACTCTGAAATAAAAATGAGGTGTCCAGTCATATGACTGGCATTGGTGCCCTCATTCTGACCTAATAGTATGCGATGTACTGCAACAGCTTCCATGGTCAGTGGTAGAGCAGGGCACACATGTGAACAGCCGATCAGCATCAGAATGGAGGGCCCTTGGTAAAGGGGCAGGTTAGGGCAGCTCCGGGGCCAGGATACTCTGGGCTTCTCACAGAGTATCTTGGACCATGCTGGCAGGGTCTTTGGGTCCACCACTGGAGCAGTAGACCGTGGGAAGATGTGAGAGAGGACCTTCTCTGCTGTGGTGCCCTGAGTGTTGAACCCTTTCTCTTGAGAGGCCCAGTTGGCACACACAGTAGGGCAATTCCTGCACCAAGGAAAAGCATGGTGTTTTTTTTACAACCTTTGGAGCCTAACTGATACCATACAAATCTGAGCAAGAACATGTTTTTAAATTGTGATAAACTGTTTTAATTGGCTTTAAACTGTCATGTTTTAACTTGCTAAATAGTTTAATATGCTTTTGTTGTTATGAAACAGAATGAAAAATAAAAAATGCTATAGACACTTCCTTAAAGCCACCAAGTGAATTCACGGCTGAATTCTGGTTTTAAAATCCCCACAGACTTCCTGACTCACAGTTTATTCTCCTTAACACTCTGGTATACTAGGAAATAAAAGCAGGATGTTAACCTGTTGTTTTAAAATACAAATATTTCTCTCTGTCTCCTCTCCTCATTCATTCATCTCCCTGACACTGACATAGGCAGAGGTTGCTAGGTATTCACATGGCTCCCTGTGTAAATGTTTTGATCAGTTCCTGCAATCTCAACTTTATCTATTTATTCAGCAGTGACTCTCTTTCATTCACACCGCAAGCATACAGGAACCAAATGGATTCTACAGTACAGAAAAAAACATCAGTGAGGTATATAAAACCTTTTGCCACCTTGGTTGAATCCTCTTTGATTTCTGTAAGAGGACTCAAGTCTGTTTTGCTTGCCAAGAGAAACCCCTTTCCATATAATGTCAGTGGGATTATTACAATGTGACAAATGTTTATTGTTGTTGTGTGCTTTCAAGTCATTTCTGATGTATGGTTACCTTAAGGCAGGGACAGGCAACCTTTTTGAGACCTGGGCCGGTCTCCCATAGCCCAGGTCTTGGCTGGGCCGAGGGGGGGATGGTGGTGTGCGCGCTTATGAGCGCGCGTGACTCCCCCGTACACGCGGCCGGTGCGGCCGCCGCCACCATGGCGCATGTCGTGGCTGCCATTTTGGAAGTCCAAATCGCGGCCGCGACGCATTTGTGCATGCGCAAGAGTACTGCGCATGCGCAAACATGTCGTGACCACCAATTTGACTTCCAAAATGGCGATCGCAGCGATCGCAGCCAAAAATGCACCCCGACGGTGGCGTGAGGCGACGGCGGCAACCTTCAGCCCGGGGCCTTAACAGGCCCCCGGGCCATAGGTTACCGGTCCCTGCCTTAAGGCAAACCACTTATGGGCTTTTCTTGGCACTGTTGTTCAGACGGGGTTTGCCTTTGCCCTCCTTTGAGGTTGGCAGAATGTGACTTGCCCAGGGTCACCCAGTGAGTTTCATTGGCCAAGCAGGGATTCAAACCCTGGTCTCCAGAGTCATAGTCCAACTCTCAAACCACTACACCATGCTGACTGTCTACTAATATGTGTTTAGTCTGTTTAAATTTTTTTTTCTTTTTTTAAAAAAAATGGTTGCGTTGATTTTATTGTATGCCAAACTGTGACCTTTAAATATAAAGCAGGATATCAGTATTGTAACAAATAAGAAATTTCTACAGTGCCTCCCTAAATCTTGTGAGGGAAAAGGAGTCCAAAATACCAGAAGACTAGGCTAATGTTGTACTTGTGCCCTGCATACAACACAAAGCTGTTGCCTGTTTCATTTTCCCTAGTACAAAGCCATTGCATTTCTAGGCAGCTGGAGTTTTATGCACCTGTCAGGATTCATGATCAAGCATTATGTGTAAATTGCATTAATGTAATTTACAGTGCAATTACATGACTTCTCAGAGGTAACCCTCATCAAGTTCTCTGGGATTTATTTCTAGGTAAAACTGTATAGGATTGCAACCCTGCTTTATGACAAAAGTGTGCAATTGCAAATATTTGACATGTGCTAACTAAAGATTTATTAATAGTTTTCCTGAAGGTCTAGCTTACAGGTAGACTTCCTTTGGCTACAGCACAGTATAATATATGAAGCCCAGTGAAATTGAGATCCCACTCATCTAGAGTGCCTATTGGATGGCTTTAGGCAAATCACTATTTCACAGTTAACATTCTTCCTAACATTGAATGGAAAATAAAATAGAGATGAATTTATTGTAGGCTTGGCCTGAGTTCCTTGGAAGAAGGTGATGAAAAATAACACTTAATGTATTTTTAACAGGTCTGGTCTCACATAGATTCATCAATACCTTTTCTGAAAAATTAATGATTTTGCCTTCTTTCAAGATCTAGTAATGGGAATTAGAAGTGGGGAGATGCCATAATGTAAACATTCATAAAAATGAAAAATATTTTTGTTGTCATGGATGGATCAGGATTTCTCTGAAAGTGCTTTTAAACTACGAATAGCGAACTTAGAAGGGAGTTTTGACAGCAGAAGAGAAGATCTAGATGTGAGTGTCATTGCAGAGTTATAAAACTGCAAGAAACTTTCTCCTTATATGACACATTATTAAATTCTTCAAAATATATTTGAACTGAACAGAATTACCTCTTTATTTGGCTTTCCAAATAAATTTCCAACATGGTTAACAGTCTCCCCCAACTTGCTGCCTCCCAAGTATGTTGGACTCTAGTTCCCGTAGTCTCTTTCCATTAACCATGTTAGGTGAGGCTTGTTTTTTGGGACTCCCATTAGACTCAGCAGAACTTCTCAATAGATGTATATAAATGTACGGTGTTAATTGTATGCTTCTATGTGAAATAAATGTACCTAAATCTTTGAATGAGGTTACACTGCATACATATTTTGTTGTGATTTATCTCTTCTATGCCATAACAGTATTAAGAACCAAATAAAAATAGTAGATGAATGCTTTCTTCTAATCATTTATTATCTTTTTTCATGTTCACTTCTTTTTCTGGAGAAGATAAATAACTTCAACTATTTTTCTCAGCAAACTCTAATGGTTTGCAACCTAATTAGACAGGGTTCATGTCACATCCTGGGAAACTGGTAAGTACCCAGATTGTATCATTATAGGTCTCTCCTATGTCCTGTTAAATCTGGGCGGTTGGGTCTAGAGACTTACTACTTAAATGTCCCACATTGCCCTCCAGTGATGGGCCTCTTTGTGAAAATCTTTAAATGGCCATGTAAAGTGCCTGCCAAGGGTGGAGCAGCAACACAGGAGGGCC